ACGCAAGAGGTCTCTGCTTCATGCCGAATCTTCAATCACTGGAGCTGGAGAGTGTGAAGCTGAGTGATGAGTTCTACTCGATGATGGCCTCTGAGGCAACAAAATCAAAGGTATACCAAACAGGATTTCCATTCAACAGGATTTTTTCCAAATAATTTTTTGCATTTTTTTTCAAATTCCACATATGCGATAACTGTTTGTTCATATTTAAAAAAAAAGGAATTACACATCATGAGTTACAAAGACTCTCATATCAATATTATAAATAGTTTTCCTATGCTGACGAAGAAAAAAAAAGACCTGTCAATATAATAAACTTTGGTGTCATAATGATATAAAAACTATCAAAGCGTGTTTTAGAAGCACGTGTTCTAAAATAGTATTTCGCATTCTACATATTTTTTGGTTTAATTTTGTCAATAGTCGCAGGAAATTAATTCTACATGTGCATGGTAAAGAGACGGATAAAACGCCTTTATTTTGCTTCAACAGACACTGTCTCTCTTCCAACTATTTATAATTGATGACCATTTTTTTCCTTCTTCATCTCGTCTTCTTTTGTTCTAAGCACACCTATTTCCCTCGGGTTTTTTCTCTCTCTATATTTGTCTGTCTCTCTCCAGGTCTCTCTCTCTCTCTCTCTCTCTCCTTCTCTCTCTCTCTCTCCTTTTGTTTTTTCCTTGCTTTAAAAGTCTAGGTAGAGGTTCATGATGTTACATTAATGACAGTGAGAATATTTTAATCAGACATGTCATCAATACTTGATAATAATATTCACTCTATTCAATCTGTCCTGTCACATCACCAGATTGAGAAGCTAGAGCATCGGGACGCAGATCTGGGTTCTCATGCATCCTCTCATTATGCAAGAGGTCTCTGCTTCATGCCGAATCTTCGATCACTGCATCTGCATCGTGTGAAGCTGAGTGATGAGTTCTACTCAACGATGGCCTCTGAGGCATCAAAATCAAAGGTATACCAAACATGATTTCTATTCAAAACGATTTTTATTTTGCAAATAATGTTGCATTCTTCAAATTCCACATGTTTTTTATAAAAGATAAAAAGAGAAATTACACTTTTTTTATTAGTTACGAGGACTCTCATATCAATAATATATAAATAGTTTGGCTATGCTGACAAGGAAAAAGAAGACGTGCCAATAGAATGAACTTTGGTGTCATAATGATATATAAGCATATCCAAATGTAATTTAAAACCACGTAATCTACAAATAGTATTTCGCATTCTATATCGAACATTTATTAAGATTTTGTCAATAGTCGCAGGATATTAATTCTACATGTGCATGGTAAAAAGACGGATATATACTTTTATTTTGCTTCAACAGACACGGTCTCACTTTCCAACTATCTATAATTGATAGCATTTGTTTGTCTTTCTTCATCTCGTCTTGCTTTTCACTTACCACATCACTTGGCCCATTGGGCTTTTTTCTCTCTATCTATCTCTGCCTCTCAGTATGTCTCTGTATATGACCCGGTCTCTCTCTCTCCCTGATGTTACATTAATACTTACAATAGAAAATATTAAATTTAGACATGTGGTCTATACTTGATAATACTATTCACTCCGTTCAACCTGTCATCACCAGATCGAGAAGCTAATAATGCACTGGGGCCGAAATCTGGGTTCTCATGCATCCTCTCATTACGCGAGAGGTCTCTGCTCCATTCCAAATCTTCAATCACTGTTTCTGTACGGTGTGAAGCTGAGTGATGAGTTCTACTCGACGATGGCCTCTGAGGCATCAAAATCAAAGGTTTAACAAACATGATATCTATTCAAAACAAGTTTTGTTTTCCAAATAATTTTGCATTGTTCAAATTCAACATAATGTAGGGTAGCTAAATTTTTCACACTTTTTTTAATTTTTTTTTATTAGTTACGAGCGCGCTCATATTAATATGAGAAATAGTTTGGCCATGCTGACAAGGAAAAACATCATGTGAATAATTCTTTATTAAAAGAAATTATTCATGTTGTCTAATGTCTTTATGAGATTTATATTAGGTAATGTAAAAATGTTAAACTCTAATAGGCCTATTATGAATAGCCAAGCATAATACATCGGTGTTTATTTCTTCGATAAATAGATAAAGGTGAATAATCTATACAAATTCATTAACAAAAATAATAAAATGGAAAATATTAATTATTTATTCCTAAACTTATAGTTTGTAGCAGTAGATACACAATTCTTGTTACCATGAATATTTGGATTATCATGTTCTTTTCATTTACAACGCATTAATAACCGATTAATTACATAACTTGATGATATTTACTGATTTATCCGTAGTCCACATGACCAAGTTATCAAAAACCATTGTCTAAGACTGTTGTCACACCTTTCTTGTAAAATATACCTGACATCAACACTATGGCACGCACAATGTCAACTCGCTTGCCTGTTCAGTGACGGATGTATCACATATTTGAAGCAATATGTATTCATGCGAGTATCCTCTTGTATCTAGTGAATTTAGAAGAATTAATTTTTTAAAAATGGTTAATTATCCACTTTGAAGGAAACGGATGAGATAAGCCTAGTGAAAACAAAGGGGAACAAGTAAATTAAACATACTCTCTTGAAGATATAATTTTGATTTAATGTCATCCCACCGATACAATACCTTTAGTACCTCTATTAAAATACATCATGCCATGCACATTGAAATGCTTTTTTGGTTTATTATAACATGTTGATTCATTTGAACCATAGCATAAATAGAGACGAAATAATCAGACTCAGATACAAATTCATCCGATATTAGCTGCGATTTAAAAAGGTGTTTATGTTAGTAATGTAAGCGTCGTGGATTTCACTTTGGTTTGAACTTATAAATTGTCTTGCACAGATCCAGACGCTAAGTATGTGGGATGTTTCCATAACTCCATGTCGACTACACTCCATTCTCTCGCTACCACGCCTCCAGTCACTTAGCTTGAGGGATATCAGACCAGTTGACATGGACGATGGAGAGACACTGGTATGTATCTAACTATTCCAAGATTGAAGTCATAATCCTCCTTTTGCTCGAAGCTCAAAAGGGAGGGGTTCAGAAAAACTAGACAGACTGAATATGAATGATAAAGGTATTGCCAAAAGAATGATGTATTTTGTCTTGAAATAAAGTTAAAACGCCATATACTACGGGCTCTTTAATAAATCTATGGATAGTTTTATGTATCAAAAATGTATACATGCACGGTTAGAATATTCTTAATTTGGAATGACATTTATCCATGCATATATATGTTCATATGTCTAATATTTTCTTGCGTCCGCCATACGGCCACATGCAATATTTACCAATGTTTTCATATTAGTCTAATTTTTACATATTTGTTATTTCTGTTATTTTAGAGAATTTCCATCTGTTGTTCGTTTGTTTACTTGCCATTTTCTTTTCATTTATGATTCTATATTATGTTTATGTTAACGTTGATCGTTCAATTATGCTTCGATTTGTATATTATCACAGGGCTCCATGGGAGACCAACTTATTGTTGAGCGGGCTACCCTGTTTTTTAAATAAATAAATTAAAAAAAATCATATTTTCATAAAGCTCGTTAAATATAATTTAATGAATGATGGCCGTTTGCTATTTCCTAAAGAGATTTTTGTTGCTTATGTTTTCATCATAAGTATGTGTAACTTTCAATAATGTAAAATCAGATGATTTTTTGTTTTAATCTGGGTGAACGAATATCACAATATAAAAGATAATGAGTATGATAAGATGATGACGTGGATCAATCAAATGATTGGTTGAGAGTGTACACGTGCCAAGGCATTTATGTTGCCTAACGCGTAATTTGGATAATTACCAGTCATTATCCAATTCTAATGACCGATCTAGTAACATCATGTTAAAAAACATCATTTGATATAACAAATAATACACAGCATTTTGTTCGGGCATTAGAAAAAATTACCAACACTCGGTACTTCGTAACTAATGCACTCACTGCTGAGTAATATTTGTATACTACAATCCCGTCATCTTCCACTGAAAAAGGAGGATTAACCCTCGTTATTAAGTTGGCTTTGGTCTTGTTGGTTGAAACGGATAAAATTAAGAAACATTTCAAGAACGTTTCACAGAAAACCTGTATTAGCAATGCGGTCATGATGTGTTTTTGGCATACAGGGAGGGGGGGGGGGGGTAATCCTCTGATTGTTTTGTATTGGAAATACCGCAAATAACTTTTTAAGAGTATTGTGATAGACAAACCTTTTTGTAAAGGAAGGGCAGTACAAGTTTAGGCCTAATGGAATATAATCTGCCGTATCATTAAAATGAAAAACAGAGAGGTAATCTTAATTATTTTGAAAATAAATCGGTTATTATAGTTCATCCGGATCGGCATCGAATATGCCTATAATGTCAATGGAAGATTCTCTAAATCATTTATAATCTGGGTATCCAAAAGTTCACAGATGTTGTATTCTTTGTACCATTTTCCACAAAACTACGCGTTTGTTTATTATTTTCTTCTTATATACTTTGAACTGACGAAAACCCTTTTTTATTGTACATTTGTGGAATATTTACCAAGCACGATATGAACAGTAAAAGTACTATATTAAAACAATAATGAGTCAGGTTATGTAATATACTTTTTTACATTAGCGTTGGTTTCCATTCAAATCATAAAGTTAGCCTTTATGCATTGACGTTTCATGTAGACTCGTCAAATAACCTCTGAGTCAGTAGATGAGCTATCTGTGGATGGTAAGCATGTGACCAGTCTGTGGAAAAGTGGACTTCATACTTCATGTCCCCGAGTGAAAACTCTCAAGCTGGGCTGGTCAAACAAGGAGAATGTCTCATCAGATATCGTCTCAATGGCCTGCTCTCCGTTCCATTATCTAACTCACCTTCGCATCCAGGGAGACCTGTCGTATGTATCGTATGCTACACTGAATGATCCCGTGTCAATTTGCAAGGCGGTTAAAACATCATGTCCCCTACTCACCAAACTGTCCATTAGCGAAATTGCCCTGTTCAACAAGAAGGCAGTTGAGATCATACAACTCATGAAGACTCTTGGACACCTGACAAGCATAGAGTAAGTATTGCAAAGCAGTAAAACTATGTAATATGAAACATTTCATATAATTGTCTTATTAGAAAATATGCATTTAAATACTTAATTCAAATGGTTTTTTCTCTTATAATGATGTATTTTAGATAGTGAGCATAATGACAACATTTTCAAAGACAACATAAAGAAATGAAAATACATATTTTCATTTCAATATCGTTGGAAATAATTAATCTGTATAAATCCAGTGTTTAATGCAACGTTTTGAAAGCCAATGGAAAAGATGAACACGTCTTTGAGTCAATATTGGGATTAATGTTTGCAAAATGTGCAATAAAGCTTTTATTTATTTATACTAATATCACTTTCTTAATGATAAATCTAAATTCAATACTTTATTTATTTTATTCATCATGATGTTCACAGACTTGCTGTATCCTGCATACACAGTTATGATACCATGGTTTGCAGTCATGCAATACAAATGCAGAGCAAAATTATGCAAGGTCCGATGTGTATTAAATTGTCATCTATTCTCACATCATATAGCATACATCTCTGATTGTTTTTTAAGAGAGTATCGTACGTCAGGTTAATAGTCCAGAAGATCATGAATTGTGCCCCCGAAATGTACTGTTTTATTACTATAGGTTGGATACGTGTGGTACCAACACGGATCTGGATCCACTGATTTCTGAGGTAAACAGTGAAGGCAAGCTGACTGTCACCGTGAAGCATGGTGTGGTAAGATATACCAATGGGTTACATGCCCATCCTTCGATTGATTCCTCTCCCTCTTTCTGGCATTCCATCGATTCAAAGTAGGCTGTTTTTAATATCCATATTTAACTCCGCCCAAGAATAAACAATACACATCATGTAAGCTGTCTTTAATGTGTTTATTCAGGACTGACTTAAATGATTACGTCTAGCGATAGGTTTGCTCTTGATCTGTGTAATGACATCCTACAACTGAAATATAACAAACATACATAAAAAGACTTTTCACAACTATATGAACATTTTTAATGAAAAAGTACGTTTTCTTCATGAACATGATGTAATAAATAATAATAATAATAATAATAATAATAATAATAATAGCCTAATAGTCCACTCCAAATTTTATTTAACCGAATTGGAAATTCTTTTAAACGTTCATTCTACTTCGTCCTCTTTTTTTAAAAAGCGATATGACGTTAATTTCTGATGCTAGGACGAAATATTTCCCACATCTAATCTATACTACTTAAAGGGTATTCTCAAAGGATCATGTAGCATGCATCTCAGCAAAACAACTCTACTGTAGAACCGTGGCGAAAAGTAGATAAGATAAAACATTCAGATTCAGATTCAGATTCAGATTCAGATTAATTTTATTGGTCCATTTGGAAATTCATTTGTTGGCGTTACATAGGCACATGAACAATATACAATAGAAAATAATATACGCGAATAGATAATATACAGTAGCAAATGTACAATGACAAATTACAAATTCATATGGAAACATGTACAATGACAAATTCATATGGAAACATGTACAATGACAAATTCATATGAAAACATTAAGTCGTTTTTACATAGTGGAATTATATAAGAAAAGTAAAATAGATAAATAAAAGGACTTCCAACACTATTGAAAATGTACGATTGCGTAGAATTTGGAAGTAGTATTGTTGTTATATTTTATTATTATTATTGTTGTCATTATTATCATCATCATTATTATCGTTATCATAATTATTATTGTTACTATTATTATTATTATTATTATTATTATCATCATCATCAACAGTATTTATTGCATGTATCATTCTTTGTCACGGTTTTATAGCTGAATCCTTTCTTCTTTCTTTCCTTCATAAATTAAACGGTATATAACTACAACTTGGAATAACATATGGCATCATAGGGTATTAATTATTTATTTGCTCGTGATACTGGTACATTCGGTTGAAAAGGAAAGGAAAGGAAAGGAAAGGGTACAATGCAAATTGATGACTAGCGAAGTGGCAAGATACAGGCTTATTCAAATTGACTGGAGTTGTTCATTGTATTTACGAATGGAAAGCGGGACAAAGGAATTAAGGAATCGTGAGGTTCGAGCCTTCATTGATCTGTACCGCTTCCCCGATCGCATTAGGGTATAGCAGTGATGAAGGGGGTGGTTAGCATTTTCCAAAATCTGGGATACCTGTTTCAGTATTGTACACACGCATTCCTGTTTCAGATCTGTCACTTCGCCAGTCATCTTGCTAGCATGATTGGATATTCTCTGCAGTTTCTTAAGGTTATCCTTTCTGCACCCACCGTACCAAACCGCACAACTAAAAAGCATTACACTTTCTATTACTGACTTGTAGAATAACATCAGAATGGTTCTGTCTACATGGAACGAATTCAGTTTTCGTAGGAAGTACATTCGTTGTTGAGCCTTTGCATACAGAGATTGGCATTGGTCTTTCCATGAGAGTTCGTTATCAATTATTGTACCAAGGTACTTAAAACTCTTGACACTCTGTATATCCTCTCCTTTAAGCATGATTGGATTTGCTTGACCTTTGTTTGTACGAAAATCGAAAGTCATCTCTTTCGTTTTAGCTATGTTTAGTACCAAGAAATTTTCTTCACACCAATTCTCAAACAAGAATAGCTCCTCCCGATATTGGCGTTCATCGTTGCCTTTGATCATGCCAATGATAGCTGTGTCATCAGCATATTTGACAACTGAGACATTATCATTTGACGAGATACAATCGTTTGTATACATGATAAATAATGGTGCTGACAGCACACAACCCTGGGGGGAACCTGTACTCGTAGTAACGTAATCAGACAGAACATTATGCAATTTTACCCTTTGAATTCTGCCTGTTAGAAAATCATGAAACCAGAGTATTAGAGAGGGTTTTACATTCATAGCGGTAAGCTTATTCATCAAGAGATGGGGCTGTATTGTGTTGAAAGCCGATGAAAAATCGACGAATGTTGTACGAACATAACGACCCAATGTGTCAATATGCTGTGCAACCAAGTGAATTAACAATAACACAGCATCATTAACAGATTTGCGTGGTTGGTAGGCAAATTGTAGAGGATCTATTTCAGGCAGTATCTGTGGGAGAATGTGCTTCTGAAGAATAATGCGTTCAAAACATTTCATCACCAATGAGGTGAGGGATATTGGCCGATAGTCATTGGGTTCAGATGCTTGGAGTGTTTTGGCTGCTGGTATTATTGTCGATGATTTCCAGCACAATGGGACATGGTTTTGGTTCAGAGATTCTTGGAAAAGAGTGACAAAAGGGGTGGCTAATTGCCAGGCACATGTTTTGAGTACTTTCCCACAGATACTGTCCGGTCCCATAGATTTTCTTGGATTAGTCTTTTTGAAGTATCTGACAACATCATTGTACTGACATACAGTGGGTGTATCATTGAACTGTTTCAAAGTATTTACAATCCTATTACTTTCGGCATCAAAACATTTGTCATCAAATCTTGCATAAAACGTATTAAATTCATTGGCTGTATCATAAACAGAGCTAGATTCTGACACTGGTGGAGATTTCTGCTTCTTTTTATAACCTGTCATCGTTTGCATACACTTCCAACCTTCACGTGGATTATTAGATCTGAATTTACTCTCTAATTGTTCTCTATATTTTCCTTTCGCATCAACAATTTCTTTCTGAATGCTAAGATTAATGTCCCTGAGTTCATCATCATTCTGGTGTGAGAAAGCTCTGTTTCTTTGCACAAACAAATCCTTCAAATTCTTCCTGACCCATGGTTTTTGGTTTGGGAAAACCTTTATTTCTTTATCCTTAATGTGTAAATCTTTACAGAACAAGATATAACCGTTGACAATTTCGACTGCTTCATCCAAGTTTGAAGCGCTAGAAATAAGTAGATCCCAATCTGTGATGTCATAACATGTCTGAAGGTTTTCAGACGCAACTTTGTCCCACACTTTGATTTTCTTTATCTGAACCTTCTCCCTTTTGATCAATTGCCTATATTTTGGTAAAAGATGCACGGTAAGGTGATCTGACTTGCCAATACTATGACGTACGTTTGCCTTATAAGCGTCCCGTATAGAGCAGTAACATCGATCCAGGACGTTGTTTCCTCGTGTTGCGCAGTCGACAACTTGATGATAGTTCGGTAGGGTATTCTCCAGGCGACAGTGGTTGAAGTCCCCTAACACCATGATTGGTGCGTCAGGGGATGCCGTTGCTAGGGAGTTGACCGTGTCCGCAATCGTAGCTGATGCGCTCTCTGCATCTCCATCGGGAGGGACATATACAAGCAGGATATGGACTTGTCCGAATTCACGTGGGAGATAGAATGGCCGGAATGATAAACATAGAAGTTCAATATTTCGTTCGCATACTTGAGATCTGATAGTAAAGTTTCTACACCACTTTTCATTCATGTAGATACATACCCCGCCGCCTTTCGACTTCTGTGTCGTTGCCTGTGATCTATCCAATCGGATGAGCTGAAAACCGTCGATGTCGATAGCGTCGCTCGGGATAGATGGAGTGAGCCATGTTTCGGTGAAGCATAATAAACAAGACTCCCTAAAATCACAATTGTATCCTGCTAGGCCTCTTATCTCATCGATTTTGTTAGGAATAGATCTGAGATTCGCCATAGTGATAGTCGGTAATGGGGGCTTGTTGCCACGGCGACGCACGCGTTGTCTAACGCCACCTTTCTTCCCTCGTTTACGTCGGCTATGGTTCGGTGCACAACTGACGTTTTCATCTTGGTCTCCTCGCAGGGGCACCCAGGCCGGTAAATCAGGCGGTTGGAACCCCGGAGAATCCACTGTGTTGAGCTCATACATGAACTTGGGTTCATATGAAATCCGGTTTCCATGACCATAACAATAACATTTGGGCGATATAAGTATAGTTATCACGATAGCAGTAATCCATGACACAAACCAGACGTGTACAGACATATTAAAGATGATAACGAAAAACAAGACGACACGTGAACGTACAAAAACAGTAAATTAACTCACTTTTTACTACAAAAACAAGAAAGCCAACTGGTCGCCACTGAGCAGCGCCCTCTAATATTGCAATATCCGTGATTTTGAATATAAGAGATTATATTGGAAGGAATTTTCAACGAATTACACTGCTCTATCTACTAGCAAACATAAAGTACACTTTCGACTGTGGCAAAAAATAGATACATAAAACATGCTTCTTAAAATATAGCAATAACCATGAGTTTGAATACTATACGAGTGTTTATTGGAAAGAAATACTTACGAATCACAGTGCTTTCTTCAGAACGTGTTTAAGATGAATAATGCTATTTGTGGCTTGCATTTTTTCTTAATCAAACTGCATGTTTATTCTTAATTCTGTAATAAAAACAACAACAAATACAATTTCTTAAAGAAATGATGTCATTATGATGGATGATACTGTAGGTTCGGAGTGTAGGCCTATATGTGTCCCCTCTTCCTATGTCTGTTACCGTGGTCATGATAGTGACATCATATATATATATATATATTTCAAATCTTCCCTGCCTGAAATATTATGCTTGCAGTGCCTTTTTGAATAAAAGTATTTATCGATATCAAATTGCTTGCAAATAGTGGTAAAATTCAAATCTAATTTTGGTTTTAATAAACGATATTCTGGCATTTTACTTCAATTTCTCTCTTCTTCGAATGCAGACACGTATGAATTCATCGCCTTTCTAAATGGAATTTAAATGTTTAAAAAAATCGGTTCTATATAAACGATTGTGAACTATTTACTCATTAGATATCTGACCTACATGAATTTTAAGCTCTGGAAGCTCATTTTCAACTTATAATTTATTTTAAGAATGTCCCTATAATTGTCATGAATAATAGCTGTCAAAAGGTGATTATTCATACATGCACAACTTTACTTGATATATATGTACTCCTCCTAATACTATCATGAATTTAACTTTTTCTCCCTCTCCGATCCTCTATGTCCCTTCTCTTTATATGTTATTTAACAAAAAATCTTGCTTCCTTCCTAACCAACTTGTGCATGCATCGCTTCATATTGTATGTATTGATGAAGAATTGAATTGAATTGAATTGGTCCAAGCACGTTGACAAAGTAACAAAAGTAACGCAAAGAAATGTTAGGGTAATACAACGAGCTATAGGACTATTTACCAAAAACATCTTTAAAGTTGCTGTATAATGCACTCGTATTGCCTCACTTTGATTATTGTTTCTCTGTGTGGTCAAATCGGTATCAGGAACAAACGGATAAACTCAGGAAAGTTAAAAAACGAGCTGCTAGAATAATTTCAAACAAAAGTTACGAGACTCCATATCCAGTGAATTGATTAGCAATCTGTAATGGATGCCAATTGAGAAACGTTTTGAATTTCAGCGTGTTTGTATGATTTACAAATGCACACATCATTTGGCGCCATCCTATTTACAAGAAAGTTTAATTAAAGTAAGTGACATTCATCAGCATAATACCAGGCAGGCAGTTGAAGGTGTACTTTCTGTGCCAAAGTATAAAACAGAATGCTTTAAAAACATAGCCCCCTATTCAATTATAGCATGGAATCAGTAACAGATCATTGAGAATGGCAAGCTCTGTGAACACCTTTAAATACATGTTCAAACAATCTTGCATTATCGATTCCCAATGAGGTAAAATTTTCTAAGCAATGAATGTAGGACGATATAATGCTTTTCAAACGTAAAGAATGATTTCATATAATGTGTTGTCAGCTATAAATACATTTGTATGTTTAATGTACATTCAATTGCTATACTAGATTACATGCATTATTTTTTTTCATATTATCCAGTAATTTACTATCCTGTAATATATTTTGTTGTTGTAAATATGTTTATAACAATTGAACTCTCTAGGCAAATGTTGCTTTTTTTTTAGGTCTAGGCTAATACTTACCAAAATATGCTAATACTTACTTTTCATCGGATTTTAAAACTAATTACTGTCTAAGCTATAATGTTAAATTAAAATATTATAACTATGCAACAACGTTTTCTTGAACGAAAAGCAAAGCAAAACAAAACAAACAAACCATTCTTTTATTATGAGGATACCAAATAATTTGTATATATGTTTAAACATGTTTTTACTTATTGTTTATTGCTGTTATATATTTATGTTCAAGATTTTGTTATCAATATAGGATTTCTCGGTCACTTTCGTAAGCTTTTCATTCGTTTTGATACAAAGTTCATTCAAATTCGCGAAATAAAGCTGCCGGCGTGTAAATTTCATTCAAAATAACACTTTTTTCATTTGATTTACTTATTCGGTCAATGGATTTAGCACTGGTTTCATTCAATTTAACAACCGCTTACAAATCCGCAGTTAGCATTCATTTTCGTCAGCAATGGCAAATCGGACGTCCGTACCATTCAATTTCACTTTGGGTCATTCTGAATAACAAAGTTTTCATTCATATTCGCCTATCTTTACAAACCTTTGGTATTCATGGTATATGTACATGTTTCTCATCTAAATTAAACAAATGAGTTATATAACATGTCATTCTTGTGACTTAAATGGTAATTGTGACTGTGATCACGATCGTGATTGTGATTCAGTGTGATGGTGATTCAGATTTTGATGACGGTGATTATGATTGTGATTGAACTGATACTCATAGATTGATCTTAACATGTTTAATACAGACTAAATATAATTTACACAAATATAAATGGCTTCAAAGAGATTACGAACATCGAATAAATTATCAAAAACAAAACAAAACAAAACATTACAAATGAATCAATGTATAGAGTATTGATACCCCCCCCCCCACCATTATGGTACGCCACTCCAATAAATACAACAGTAGTCTGTAAACACACACTTTGCATGCACTTATACCATTGCATATTCATAAAAAGACACTCTTGCTTAGTTCCGTGCTTATTCTATATTGATGTGGCTAGGTTTTATTTACTTAACACATGATCGTTTAGTTGCTAAATAGTGGTGATTTATTGGGTATACACCCATAGTGAGGACAAATAACATGTTTGTTGCTTACCAACCTATACAATTTGAAATGGATTTAGCATGGAACTAAGCTTGCGGGGTTCTATATAATTATGATCATACTTGGTAAGATTTACATGTTTAATTTGTCTGCAAAACGTGTGAAACTGTATGCAAAGAAACGAATTCGAATTCACGGAAGACTCTATTACGTAATCGCGAATCGTCTCGCTTTAAAGGAAACCAAAACCTTCATACTAAGTTACTTTTATTGTAAAGTTTAAGATATTTGAAAAATATCAGTGACAATTTGAACAAAATCGGGCAAGGAATAAGGAAGTAAGAGCTTTTTGAAATGACTAGTCACTAGAGGGCGGTATTCAATTTGATGACATCATCTGTGGACAACTCTCCATGCCTTTTGTACATCAAATTTCATTTTTTTCCTTCTTTCTTGTGATTGAGATAATGTACTCCCCCGAAAGCAAGATATAGAATGCAAAATGATATTCTACTTCACATGTTATGAGGTCGGATCAAGAACACAAATAAATACGAAGAAAACAAAAAAATTGTGAAATTTTATGTACAAAAGGCATGGAGAGTTGTTCACAGATGATGTCATCAAATTGAATACCGCCCTCTAGTGACTAGTCATTTCAAAAAGCTCTTACTTCCTTATTCCTTGCCCGATTTTGTTCAAATTTTCACTGATTTTATTCAAATCTTTTAAACTTTACAATAAAAGTAACTTAGTATGAAGGTTTTGGTTTCCTTTAAATTGAATGAAAATTGTACGAAAAAGAAAAACGTTTTAAATCAAATGAAAAAGAAATGTTTTTGAATGATCGTTTTAGGAATTTAAATGCTAAAAAAAACGAATTTGAACGAAAAATAACAGCTGCGGTGACAGAATCGGCGAAATTGAATGAACATAAAATGAATTTGTGTGGCCAACTTACGAAAGTGACCGAGAAATCCTATATTATAATCATATATATATTTGTTAAACTATAATGTAAATCGTTATGTTTAACAGGGCCTCATGGAAGACCAGCATTATTGGTGATAATGAGTCACCCTGTCTAAATATCAGAAATAAATAAATAAATAAATAATTTCATTTCGAGAGGAGGTCACTTCGAGCTTGTGCTTTATAGGACGACCCCTTTTCTGTATATGCCGTGTCATCATCATTCATCCAAATTCATAAGATAGTACATGGAAATATGTTGATGTATATGGAATGAATAATCATCACATGAAATCAAAGCA